AGGGGAGAAAGGAAGTCTGTAAATCAGGAGAGTTTGGAGGAGAAGTCACTCCCAGCTGATGGGACAAACAGCTACAAATTGCTTCACTCACCACTAACCTTTCATAGCAAAACCAGCAAGGAAAATACAAGATATGGTGAGCCACAAAAAGAAATTCATTCACTTCTAACATGCCTCTTGAGGTGACTGACTTGTCCATGTTCATTTCAAGTAACCTGGACAGAGGCATAGCCACATTACTGCTGCTGAGGCTGTACCCATGTTGGAGATGACCAGGCAGCTGCAGACTCCCAAGCAATCATCTCAGCAACCTCCAATAGCATCCATGTCATGTTCTGCAGCCTGAGGAGGGAACACTGGGTCGGCAAGGTCAGCTTTTAAGAAATGATTTCATCTCATCTCCCTCCTGAAGCCTCTTGCTGCACTACATAACATGTTGCAGTCATTTTCTTTGCTGAATTAGAGGGACTTTTGTTTACTAGTGAGTTGATTGGGGGGCCACACATACAAAATACCCAGGCAGAGATGGACACTTTGGGGCTAGAAACAAAAAAATGTGAGGCTGTGACACCAACTCTCAATGCTCTTGGTCAGTCTTCATTACACAACAACCTCAAATAGCTGATCCTTTCAGTATCATCAGACTCACAGGCACTGTGACTGCAAGATAATAACAGCAACATTCCCATCCCTTCAATACAAATACACATTTGAGGGTGGAGAGACAAATATCCAGGTACTGCACGGGTTAACATTGCAGGTAGAATGTCAGTTACTTCCCTTTTCAGGTTTCCTGTGAATTATGCCCCTCAGGGGCTATAAGGACCTGATCAAACCCAGCTACAGCACAGTTCCTGAGCAGCTTGCCTACACACTGCATTTTCCCTGGACACAGCTTGCTCTGTTGCCTTCCCAGACATGTTACTTATACCATCAGAAACAAAAACCCCATGGAGGTTGACCTGATTCTTAAAGAGAGAGAACCTGGCTATGAGCAAGTACTCCAGCCCTCGACTCTTCTTAGAAGAGAGAGAGACTCTGAGGTGAGACTCCTGGAGGGTGGTTGCAACTCACTGCTTTAGCTGGCAGAATTTCACTTCCAAAACCCTCCTGGGGAATTGCTGCACTGAAAACAAGTCCAGTTGCTTTCCCCAAAAGTAGCCCATAAAGGGGAAAAAAAAACCAAAGAAAAAAACCCCCAAAAACGGGGGAAGGAAAAGAAATACAGAAAAATACCTGCAAACCCCTTACTATAAGGGTGTTTTCAGTTCAAGCACTATAATATTTTACAGTTGCTTTAGCTGTTTAAATCCATCTTGTCACAGTGTCAAACTGCTTTCAGAGTCCCAAACGTTCTGGTAGGGTGTGATGTCTTGACAGGAAACAGCTCTTCCACCGCAAAAAAGCAAACCCCAATGAGTCTGGGAAGAAGCAAGAACAGCACACAACAGACACAGCGCTCCAAGTAAACAGCTGGGCAAGCCAGCACACAAAACTCCCAACCAGTAGTATTCTCTACAACCTCAAAATTCCAGGGCCTTGGCAAGCACAATCAATCACGAACTCCAAAGCAGGGAAGAGCTTCTGTCCCCAGCTAGGGCCGTTCAATAACACCCAGTTGCTTTGTTACACAGCAGCCAGCAGCAGGCATGTACTAGAAAACTCGACTGTATGAAGGCTAAATGCAATTTCTCTCTGAGGCTGTGCTGTCCTCTTCATATTGTGGACAGACAGATCAACCTGTACATTCTCTGCTGCTTTCCTTGGTTTCCTCAGTTTTAGGCTGGAAACACTGAGGAAACGAGTCATAGCAGTAGCACTTCAGAATCAGCAAGTCTTATTTGAAACTTCGTCTTTTACTTCAAACTTCATTCAGTACAACACTGAGCTCTTGAAGCAGTTTGGACCAGACAACAAACATCTCCTGAGGAATTCACTGTTTCCACCAGATATTGCTGCAAGAGTTTAAAGATAGCAGAGCTGCTAGAAAATGAAACAGGAAACTGCTAAAAGGAGCAGGTAGCAGTTTATCTCCCTTAATGCAAACACAAGCCAATTAAAAACGAAACCAAAACAGGAAAGGAGAAGGAATGAAGGGTAAGTTCCTCATATGGAAATTAAAAGGTTGTCATCTTACACCAAAACACAATTACTAGATGTTTTAGTTAATTCTGCAGCAGAACTGGGTAGAAAAAGGATTACCTTTTTTGAGGGGGAAGGAGGTATTGTAAAAGTTATTTTGTGCTAGGAAAAAAGAAATACCCACCCTTCCTTTATCCATGAGAATAAAAGAACCCTGATCCCACAATTGCAAAAGCTCACCTCCCAGCCTGCTACCAGCAAACAGATAAAGAAGGTGACAGAGAAGAAGGCAGATTTCTAGCTGGATACTGTCAAATGGTTAGAGACCAGACAGCTCAGAATGCTTTTGTAATGCCAAACCAGCCAGTCACACTGAAACTCATTTTCTGACCAGTTTATCTAAGAACCTTCCCCTTTCAACTGCCACATGTCCTAAGGAGACAAACTAAAGTCCAAAGGGTGCCCAGTGGTTGGAAGGTGCTCATTCCCTTGCCCCACACCTCTGAAACACTGTCCATTCAGTGCTCAGAACTGATGGTAGAGACCTGAGCAGAACACAAAGAAAAACATCTGTCCACAATGGAGCTGGTCAGAAACGCTGAATTCAGTCGTAAAGCTTCCCAATCATTTTGCAGCAAGACCAAATCACTCCTGCTTCAGATGCAGAGGTACCCACCTGCTGCTTCCATGCCACATAGGGTTTACAGCACAGCCTTAATAATGATGGTATTAAGGACCTAAAAACCTGTTCCCCTAGACCAGAGCAGCTTTGAAGCTTGGGGACAATAGTGAAAAGAAAGCCTGAAGTAGGCCTTTCTGGGATACCTTCACCATAAGAAAAGCTCTCCCAAATCCCCTGTTGTTTAGTACTTAGCCAACATCCTAAAAGCACAAGAGTTTATTTTTTTTGCCAACAGTATCACATAAATACAAACATTTATTATTAGAAACCTGAATAACATGAAGATTTCTAGAGAAATCTGTGTTTCCTTTTAAGGAGGCTGCTAAGCTCTTAGACCAAAGGGTAACATCCAGCAACACAAGTTCAAAGGCACAGTTAACTGCTGTATTAAAAGAGCCAAGTCTTTGTTAGTGGGATGTATGCTCTATTACATTTTCATTGATTGTTTTCTGGGTTTTTTTTGCAGTATAGGAAAGCCATTTCTATTTACCCTATTAGCCTTTGCTCTATTATTGATCAATGTCTTCTATTTTTATCTTTAACAGAGGTAAACAGCCTTCTCTCTGGGGAAAACCTGTCTTCATGTCTTCAGTAATTACTCCTGTTCAAGCTCCTTACATGGCAAGAACAATTGCAAACTTTCTATAAGCAGGAGCCATCTTCACCATTTCCTCTAGATTTTCCACTCCTCCTCCTCCTCCTCCTCCTCCACCCACTCTTGACAGCTTCAGAGTGTTCCAGGCAGCTTTCATAGAGCTGTCCCTGAAATCACTCTAGTCCCTTTCCACAATTCATCAGAACTCAGTCACGCACACATTCTTCCAAAGCCCTCTTTCCACTACATGCTGCAGCTGCCAAGGCTGAAATTAGCCCTCACAGAGCAATTGAGATTTCGAGACACCACGAGCATCCAAACAAGACCCACAACTCACCTACAGTGCAAGAGAACACAGGCACAGTAACAGCCTCCTCACACACCTACCACACCAGCACATGCACGAGGCGTCTGTCAGTCCATCCAGTCTGAATCAAAAGAAACCCAGCAAACACAAACCTGGTGCCCACCACGTTACTGCAGCCTACTGAGCTCCCAGCCCACCCAGGACCAGACACACCCGTGCAGTGACACCCACCCAATGCCACCAAAGAGCGTGACAGCACTGGGGAACGAGGGGGCTGTGCTGGTGCGTGTGAATGCATAGGGAGAGTGGAACAGCTGCAGCAAGGACGGATTGCGGGGAAGGAGGGAGAGGAAGGAATTGGGTGGGCTGCACCGGGGGTGGGGGCGAGGCTGTGGGGGTTGCACTGGGAGGCTGTGGGTAGACGCGGGGGTGAGCGCTGTGCGTGTTGGTAAGGAGGCCATGAGGGAGGAATGTGCGCGGAAGGGAATGGCGGGGGCAGCCCTAAGAAGGGGGCGCACACCGGGGGGGAACGGGNAGTTTTCCCGCAGCGCCGGGCGGAGGGATGCGCTTCCCGGAACGGGCGCGCGGGAGGTTCCAGCGATCCAGCAGCTCTTGTCCCCCGCCGGACCGGGTAAAGACAATACTGACCTCAGGAAGAGGCCTGCCTCAGGCAGATTTCCCCCAAACCCCGAGTGAAAGGTACGCAGGGGTGTTGGAAACCAAAGCCGTGCCTCGACTTAAGTCTGAACAGGGCACTTTGAGTCTTAAAGAAAAGAAAAAAGCCAAACAAAGAAAGCATCCAAAAACACCACGCCCTAGAACGTTTAATACAACTGTGTTAGCAAAAGGAGGTGATGATTTTCTCCTCCTGCTGCATTAGAAGTCCACTTGCCCATCTTATAACAGATAGGGAGCTGCTACCACACGTGCCCCAAAATGGCAGCGTGTATTCCCGTTTTGTCCCAGGCCAGAACTCCCACCCAAAACATCCCCACGGTGCTCCTGGGCCCTGCCAGCTCACGGCTCTGCTGCCTCCACCACACGGCAAGGATGGTGGTGCTGTCTCACCCAGGAACATTTCCCCTCTCCCACAGAAATCACAGGATTTACAGCGGAAAACGTCCAGTTTCATTCTGATCCAGCAAAAGCACGCTCAAAATGGAGGCAGGGTAAATGCAGCATTGAGGTAAGTGCAGAATACCCCATACGCCTGGAACTACCTTCCTCTTCCCCTCCCTCCTACTCTCATCCCTGGAGCTGGAAGACCCCATGCAGCAGGGAAACAAAGGAACAGCTCTTCCTGGCTGGCTGGCAGAGAACAAGCTTGGAAAGAATTTGCAAAGTCACCAAGATCCATCATTTATTCCCAGCAGGTGTTTCTGAAAATAAGTTTCAAGGGTTTCAAAGAGCCTGGAAGAAACAGGCCTCTCATCAGGATAATGCAGGGATGTGTAACTATAGGAGTAGCAATTTAGAAATAAATCAGTATTAAAATTTAGTATTTTACTGCCAGACAGGTCAGACAAGCAAAGGAGGAGAAACCCAAACAAACCACACCACAGCAGACACCAAAGCAGCAGGTGCCACTTCACAGGGATGTCAGTCCGTTTGCATCAGGCACTGTGTTGTCAAGTGATCCGTGCCTCTCTCCTCCAGGACTTAGGTTTGAAGAAAGCAAAAACCACAAAATCCAGGGTCCACTTCTGTCCAAGTCAGCGCACACCCAAAGCCAACGGCATGGAAAGGCCCATCCCTCTCTCTTCCTCACGGCCAGACGCATGGGACGCCAGAGGCTCAGATCCAGGAACCGAGAGATAGATCCTGAATCAGATTTCACATAACTCTCGCCTGTTCCAAGGCTGCAACTGCAGAGATCAGCTCAGGTTTATTTTTAGGCGCTCCAGTCCTGTGCTTTTTTTTTCCAGTAATTCTGATCAAACTTGTTCCTGGAATTCAGAAACAGGTTCAGCCACAAGACCATGTCCTGTGTCTAAGATGCAACTCCCAGCAAAGGTGCCAGGGTCATTAAAGGAAGAAATGACAGATGCTGGCATCACTTTATCATTTTCTACTTTATTACTTCAAATTAACAACCACGATAAAGCTCAAAAAAGTCCAATATTTACACAGGAAAAAAGTACAAAATCCCCCCCAAAGTTCTTCAGGTTTTTTTTTTGTTTTTTTAAATTACAAAGTAATAAAAAGTTTTGCTCTTTAATTAAAAAAAAGAGAGAGACAGTAAGAGGGGTAAATAAATTAGGAAAAAAACAGGGAGGAAAAATAAAGTGTTAAATAGAAAGGGTAAAAACAAACAAAACAAAGACTAACCCCAC